CTCTCTCTCTCTCTCTCTCTCTCTCTCTCTCTCTCCCTCCCTGTTTCATTTGTAGCGATGTGTGTTCAGTAACCTTACTGCGGTTGGGACGAACAAATTTCTATATCTGGCTGCCCTTGCTTTCTTGGAAACATTTCGTTTACTTAGCTGGTCGATAACTGAAATTCCGATGTCAGTGAGGTGGCAATGGTCACTTAACATTATTTCAGCCTTTTTGGAACGTTTGTCTTGTACAGAAATTCAAAATTATTATGTCTCTACCTATTGTTCGTGATGCCTTTCTGATCAGCTTGTTTATTTTTATGATGTGCTGTCTTCCCAAGTTTCTACCATAGCAAGAAATACCAGAATTTATCAAAGTGTGTATTGTGGGGTAGAATATTATCTGAAGGATGGATGGATACGGATTGAAGGGCCTAAGTTTCCTCAGAAAGTACAGCCTCTGATTTATTTAGTGACGATATTGTTCACGTGATTTTTTCCGTGTAAATTTGTTGTCGAATGTAAGACCAAGATATTTTGTATGAATCCGTTATTTCAATTGTTTATTGCTCAAATACAAGTAGTGAGATTGTTCGTTTTTCTCTTCTACAATTAAAAATAATTTCCTTTGCACTTTGTTTTTGAGAGGTTCAGTGAGTGGTGCGTCATTACGAGGACGAACACACACACAGTATACACTGATTCAAGATGGAGTCATCAAAATTAATCAATCAGCTTCTGGTTGTGTTCATGCAACAGTATGTAGCCATTTTTTTTTTAATGGGAGGTCCAATAATATCCAGAGGAGTTTTTAACGTATCAAGCGTAATTCTGATGTATGCTTAACACTCTCTTCATCACTTAGAATTTGTTGATTATGATTATGGTATTCTCCAATAATTTCTCTCTGTTGTAAAACGGGATGCATCCAATGCCGTCTATTATTAAGCACGTCTTCTTTTTAGCAATTAAAACAACACGAGCCGCAATCCTCCATTGTTCAATTGCCTTGTGCCTTTTCTTTGGCAGTAACGAGAGGTACGCGGCTCGATAGTAAAATGTACTTCAATCACTTTGCTCACGTCTCGCTTACCTCTCGGTAGAAAGGCTGAGACTTACATAAATCGAAAATGGTCACTCTGTTTTTACACTCTAATTCTGAGAACGTATAAATGCCCTCTTAAGTCGAAAGCGCAGTAAACAATGGGTATCTTTGTATGCAGCGGTCAGGGTAGCCCTTCAGTATTACCTGTTTCTCCCAGAAACCACCCAGGAGTGAGTACCATTGCCATTTCTAATATTAGGAAGAGACAGGGAGGGAAAATGGAAGAGAAAGAGTTGGAGAGTGTATGGCAATATGTGTACAGGGACAGCAAGAAAAGTTAAAGAGAAAGAGAGAGACAGAGAGAGAGAGACAGAGAGAGAGAGACAGAGTGTGTGTGTGTGTGTGTGT